CCCGAGACGGCCTGACGCTTCTCCAGCCGGTCGAAGATCCCTCCGCCAGATCCCGAGCTGCTCCCTCCTCCGCCACCTCCTCCTGCTCCACCCTTCCGCTGCAGTGCGCTATCCTCTCCACCTCGCCTCCGATCCCGCTGCCTGCCGCCATGCGACGACTGCTGCTGATCTCCACCGCCGCTGCTGCTGCCATTGCTGGTCGGTTTCAGTACCACCCGCCGTTGGTTGGAGCTAAAGCTGGGCGCTGATGTCGAGCTGCCGCCGCGCATAGACTTGTGGTTCCGCTTGACCACCAACAGCTCCGGCGTGGCCGATCTCTTGCTGCTCGCCTTTTGCGGCGGCGGCGATGGCGTGGCCAACAAACGATCCTCCTCGTCCAGCAGCAGGTCATCGTCATCATAGTCCAGCTCCACTTCATCATCGCTGGGCGTGCCCAGGCGCAGCATATCACGCGGCTTGGGCGGTGTTCCACCGGCTACCGCAGCTCCCAATCCCGATCCCGCCGTTCTCGCCGGCGCCACTGCAGTCATCTGCTGCTGCTGATGATGATGCGGCTGCTGCTGCTTGGTGGACGGTGCCAAGTGATCGGTTATACTGCGCTTTGCCTCTGGCGCTATCTTCGCCGCCGTTAGTTGCTTGCGCGCCGGCTGCTGCTGGCCTTGGGTTGCCTGAGCATTGGACTGCGGCTGGGACTGCGATCCCTGTGCCTGCCTGCTGCGAACGTTGCCCGCATCCTGGTCGTCGCGACGCTTCAGCGAGATCACCTTGCGCTCTCCGACTGGCTGGGCAGGCCTATGTTTTGACGCTGCAGCTGTCGACACTGCAGATCCTTGTCCGGCGGCCACCTCCTGGTCGTCGCGGGCTGGCGAATTGTGCTGCTCGGTGCGCTTCTCCTAGAAAGTTTAGTTCGTTTGTGGATTTCTCTTGGTTTCGGTACGCTACAGTAAGCTACATTATAGAAAGGCTAGCTTCGGTGGCCGAAGGATCAAATGCCCTTGCATACTCTTTTAATTCATACATGCTATCATACATAAAGACTTTTTTTTTTATAAAAACAAATCTGTCATACCACGTTAAATTTTCAATAAAATTCCCTATCGACCTGCATTCAAACATAGGATCTTCATAGGATCTTTTCACAGGATAGAATGCAAAAATACGTCTAAAAATGGATTTCCGAAAATCAGTCATTGCCGTTTTGGGCAATTTTCTGATTCAAAAACGTTTCGAAAATATAGAATTTTTGCAAAAAAAAAAAAAATACCTAATACACTTCTAAGTTAATTTTCTAAACCAACGATCTCATGCAAGGGCATCAAAATATTGTCAAAATATTGTGCACATCTGCAGCCCAGCAATATAAATTAAAGAACTAGGACTTACCTCGTGTAGTTTCTCCTCGGCTGCGCGCCGACGCTTCAGCTCCTTGTCTCGCATGATTTTCTCGCGCAGTTGCTTCTGCTTCTCGATCTCCAGGCGATAGTTGCGGGTTTCCTCGTCCTCGTCGCTGGGCTGCATTCAAAAGGGGAAATTAGTCCGTGCCAGATGAGAAAGAGCTTAAATGATTCCACTTACCATATTACGCCCGCCTGTTTCCGAGGGTCGGCCGCGTGGCTCGCCAGAGAATGGATTGCGGGCAGTGGCTCCACCAGCCGAGCCACTCCTCCGTCGCTTGGGCGGCGCAGCTCCGCTGGATGTTGCTCCGCCCGCTCCTTGGGCACTGGCGGTGCTTGCTCCACCACGATTCTCGTCTCGATCCCGACTGGATGCCCTTCGGAAGCCTCGGTTTCCTGCCGCCCGATTGGCGCCACCATATCGCTCGCGATCTCGCTCCCGATCCCGCTCCCTTTCACGATCCCTCTCACGTTCCCGCTCCCGATCACGTTCCCTCTCCATGCGCTTGACGGGTGAGTAACTGCGGCCACGGGAGCGACTGCGGCTACGTGTTCGCCTCCGTTCGCCTGCCTGTGCAGAGGAAGCGGCTCCGGTGGTGGAGCCCGACGACGGGGGCGAGCGTTCCATGCGTCTCTTCTCAAAGTACTGGCGATTCTTGTTAATGAACTCCTCCTGCTGGCGCAGCAACTCGGCCTCGCTGTTGATGGCGGGCATAAAATGGGTCTCCTTAATGAACTTGTTGGTAGCCGCTTCGACTCCGCCCTTGAAATTCGGATTAATGAGCACCTTGCTGACCCGTGGCACCGATGAAGAGCCCTGCTGTTGCGGCGGTCCATTTGGCTGCTGCGGCGGCTGGCCAGGATTGATGGCCTGCTGTATGGGATTGCCCGCTTGCTGCGGTGCTGGCTGTTGCTGCGGCTGCTGCGACTGTTGTTGCTGTGGCGGCGGACCTCGCATCCCCATGCCATTGGCATAGTTCGGCGGTGCGCCGGGCATCATGTGCGGTGGCAGCGTCTGCAGCGGGGGTCGCTGCATTCGCGTATTGTCGCCCTGCGGTCGCCAGCCGTTGTGCGGCCGCATAAACTGCGGCGGATGCTGGGTTGGATGACCTTGGTCGTAGCCGTACGATGGCAGGGCGTTACGGTAAAGCGGCGGACGCATGCCCGACTGCTGCTGGTGTGGCGACTGGTGTTGTTGGTGCGGCCCCGGTCCAGGTCCAGGTCCCAGACCCAGAAGTGCTCCATTGCGATAGCCACCCGGATTGGGGGCGTACGCCAGCGGCGGTGGCTGCAGCAGACCCACACGCACCTGCTCATGCGAATGCGGCAGCAGGTGAGGCGGCACGCCTCCGTTTGGATTGTGACTGTGGTGCATCATGTGCGAATGCGTGGGAGTGTGGAGGGGAGAGGCGGGAGCGCTGTGTGGCTGTTGTGTGTTGGTCGGTGCTTGTTGTGGTGACTGGTTGGGTGGCTGAGTTGCCGGGTACTGGCCTGGAATTGGAATGAATGTTGGATTGCTCAGTGTTTGCTGTTGTTGTTGATGTACTTGATGGCTTGGATGAGTTTGCGGTATGGAGAGGGTGAGCGGGGTTACGGGAACGGTTAATGGAAGAAGGCAGGCGGCGGTGGGAGCAGCACCCACTGGCGTGCTCATCAGAGCCAGGTGCTGCGGTAGTGGAGCATTACCCGGCATGCCGTATCGTTGCGGCGGCGGCTGCATTCCGGCCATGCCCATGCGTGGCTGCTGAATCCCAAACATTGGCGAGGGGTTGCGAAGCAGATGGTGGCGCGTTCCGATTCCACGCGGCGGCTTGCCCATCTGGCTCTGTTGCTGCTGCTGGCCATGCATATAACGTCCACCTCCGCCAACGCGGGGTTTATCTGCAATTAATAAGTAATACATTGGTTAGGTAAGGATTAAGAAGGCGACTGGATTCGCCTCCTGCTGAACCCACCTCCATGGCCGTGGTGTCGCCGCTGCTGGTGCTGGTAGGGCGACATGTGTGCGTGTTCCTGTTGCTGCCGTAGATTGTTGTCGGATCGTTCGCTGGCCGTCTTGTAGTTGGTGCGCTCCTCGCGCTCTTCGTCGTCTTCGCGCGGATCGTGCAGCTCTGAAATCACAGAGGCAGAGCTGGCACTGGGCAGGCTCTCCTGGGAAGAGGCCAGTAGCGAGCATAAGCCCAGTCCTCGTTCACCCTCACTCCGACTGCCAGCATTCTCAGCTGGCTCCTCGCTATTGCCATTGTTCTGAGTTGCTTCCTTTTCGGTTCGATCAGCCGGAGGCGCCTCCTCCTTAGCTTGCTGTTCTGGCGGATCCGAGCGATTGGCTGACAGCTGTTCATTCACTGGCTCAGCTGCCACAGCCGCGTGGTGTTCAATATGTTTTTCCACCTGGGCGACTGGAGGGTTTGCAGGAACTGGAACAGGATCCGGAACAGGAGTTGGTGCATGTTCTGGGTGCGCCTTTGAAGGCGCCACCTCTGTCGTGGCCGGGGCTGAAACTGTAACAGTCGCTGCAGTCGCACCTGCCTGCAATTGCTCCTTGTGCTTGCGTTCGTGCTGTCTAATCTGCTCCTGGGCCCACTCCTCGGCCTCGGCGCGCATCTGCTGCTTCACCTCGCTGGTGACATCCTTTTCGAGCTCTGGAGCACGGAACAGGGGTACAAGGGTATCAGTCGGAGATCGATTTAAATATCGCATTTTTACCACTCACCTTCGTCCGAGAGTAGCAACTCATCCTCGTCGGCGCCGAGCAGAGCCTGGTCATCGATGTCGTCGCCCAGCTCATAGTTGAGCAGGTCATCACTGTGGGTGAGATGGGAATTGCGAGTTGAGAAATCGTAAAGGGGAAAGGAGAAAACCAAGGTAAGACTTTTTCTTCTCCTTCGAGGTTCCATTGAAAAAATCACACACACGCACATACACAAACACAGCCGGGGGGCATTCACACACACTCGCAAACAAACACCTACGCAGCTCGAAAATGTTATACACATGCATTGCCAAACCCCCGCCCCCGCCATAGGTTTTTGCATGCGATTTTCTCAGCCACACCAACCGATCGCTGGCCAGGATCGTTGCCCAATCCTTGGAGGCCATCGTCCATCGTTCGGCGATCCACTTTTTCGCACCCACCACTTACTTAATGTCCGACATTTTTTCGCCAGGGCAGCTGTTGACACTCGGCGGCGCGGGCGTGTGTGTGTGTGTTCTCCAAAGAGAAGTAGAACAACGATTGTCTACGGACGCGGCGCGTACTTTATAACATTTTGAGCAGTCGCCTTGCCATCGGATCGATCTGATCAGTAGCGCGCGCTTTTTCACTTGATAAATAGGAACCCGAAATGTGTGCGAAACGTTCGGGTCTTTTTCACACGCAGTATTTTTTTTTTGAGGGATGCAATCAGTTTAGTGGTGGCAAGTATTGCGATAGGTGTGCGTTGCTATCGGTGCTGCCAGACGGTCAAAATATCGATATCCCATATTATTATATGATATGAGACATGGAAATACCACTATTTGTACCTAACACAATTTATGAAGAATAGAAAAAATGCAGCCGGAATATCCATTATATTTGAATAGCAGTCCTGAGCGATGTGGCAGCTCTGGCGTTTAACAGCTCCAACTGGCCAGTGTTGAACAGCACGGTTTGGATGTACAGTTTGAAATTAACCGGTTGCAACAAAGCAACTTAGCAACTTGGCGTCCATTTTTACTGATTCGAATTAAATTTCATATTTACATTATTCCACTAATACATGAAATCGAACAAAATGTACACAATGAAATTCAGCGAACACAAAGCAAGGATCCTGGCGTTGACGGCCGATCACGTGGACCAGCTGCACGCAATGTGGACAAAGATGTTCGAGCCGCAAGCCTGCGAGGATTGCATCGTCCGTCTGGAGGCCCACGCACACTCCTTCTACACAGATATCCTCAAGGAGTCGCGCGATAAGGAGCAGAGCATCACCAGCGACATAGCCGCTCTGCGCACCGAGGCCACAGACCTCAAGCGGCTGCTCCACAAAACGGTGGACCTTGGCCAGCAGCCAGACGATGTGCCGCTGGTCATCTGGTACATGAAGCTGGACACAATCAATGATAATCTGCGCGTGGAGCTGGCCAGTCGACGGGCGGAGATCAGTGAGCTTCTCCAGCAGCAGCAGCAGCTCTGCGATGAGCTGGGCGAACTGCCACATCCTCTTCTAGCTGATCCCCTACCGATGCCCGAGGAGATGGACTCTTTTCGGGAACGCCTCGCTCAGCTGCGGGATCAGCGTGTGCAGCGCCTTAAGGAGATGGACCAACTGCGCCACAACATCAAACACAACATGAAACTACTCGAACTTCATACGAAAACGGACTTGGAGAAGCAGCTGGTCAATTCGAATAGTTATAGGCTTACTCCCGAATCCTACGAGCGGCTGCAAGCAATGCACAAGCAGTACGCCGACCAGGTGCAGGAGCTACGCGAGCGCATCGACGAGATGCGCGACAAGATTCATCTCCTCTGGCAGCGGCTCAGGCTAACCGACGAATACGCCATGCGTCGTGTGCGCGATTCCACTTCCTATAACCAGCGAACCTATGACATTCTGCGCGAGGAGCTAGAGCGCTGCCAGGTCATGCGGCAGCAGAATCTGAAGAACTTCATCGATCAGCTGCGCATCGAGATCAACGAGTGGTGGGATCTCACACTGAAAAGTACCAAAGAGCGCAGGCGCTTCACCAGCTACTATTGTGATACCCCGAGTGAAGATGTCCTAGAGCTGTTCGAAATAGAGCTGGATCACCTTAAGGAGTTCTACAACAGCAATAGGAGGATCTTTGAGCTATACTCGAAACGAGGCGAGCTGAGGGCGCGCATGGAGGCACTGGAGGCCAAGGCCAACGATCCCAATCGGTTCAACAATCGCGGTGGACAGCTGCTCAAGGAGGAGAAGGAGCGCAAAACTATGATGTCCCGGCTGCCCAAGATCGATCATCAAATCACGGAGCTGGTGAAGGTCTACATGACTCAGGCGAACACGCCGTTCCTGGTGCACGGCGAGGACATACTGGATAGCATGTCGGCGGATTGGGAGCGCCATTGCGAGTCGAAAAAGCAGCCCTCCGCCAAGAAGATGGACACCAATACGACCAATACGACCGGCAAAATGAAGCCGCCTCTTACGCCAAATACGATCAAGAGCAACCGGGGCATCCATGGAACCTCATTCTCGTTGAAAAAGACGCCGTCGAAAGTGAATGCGAGCATCACGGCCAAGAGCACAGGGAATCTGCACAAGAGGCGGCATCCCAACCACGACAGGAATAGTCCACAGCCAGCAGCTGCGGCCAAACGAAATCTAATCACATCGCTGGAGTGCAACAATTCAGGTGCCATACTGAGTGTGAATGGGCAGAAGCCGCTCAAGTCGCCGCAGAAGAAGGTGCGCGTGCTGGAATACTCGGTGCGCCGGGGCAAGGCATTCGGCAGGCCGAGCACAGGAAGCAGAAATCCCCAGCGGAATCGCCCCATTCCCCAAATCTATGTGCGTCCGCCCTCCGGCGAGGAGAACGAGAGTCCCAACGAGGAGAGCAACGACAGAGGCGTTGGGTGCTCTAAATAGAGCTAAGCTTTAATCACATCGATTTGCAATCGCATCGGCAACTGATCTGTGTTCTATATCTACCTGTACTAAAGTATTTCGCTCACAATTGCAGACACATCGGATTCAAATAGATATATATATATAGTTAAGGGCATTTCCTAACTATCTAAATTTACAACTTTTAACGCGTATCAAACTACATTACTACACGCTGTGACTGCAACTGAGTAAATGAGCAATTGTCAACTTTTAAATTATAGTCAAATATAAATGTTTTTTTTTAACTATCCTGGCTTAACTGAAATTATTTTGTACATATGGGTAGTACAATTATACCAATTTATTACGCAGAAGGTTGTATAAGATCTGTGCGATAAATTATGCGGCAAGTATGAGCGGACAAGAGATTAAATGTATCTTGTAATTCCTTGATGAAATAAATAACGAATTTTATATATATTCAAAAAAGTCCCTATGCTCCAGCCCTGGACTTGCCAGAAGTTACCGCGACGTGGCAGCACTGTTTCGCAATGCAGTGGCAACATTTTTGTCCGCCATTTCAATTTGAATTTACCGAAATTTCATTCTAGCGTCATCGATTCATTCAGATCCAAATTTCGTACAACGATGCACTCTAAATAAACCACGATTAGCACATTCCCAAGTCAAACCCGTCCAGCGGTTGGCATCTGACCCAGCTGTCAAGTTAACTTAGACTTATTAAGTAGTCAATGTTATTTTCCCCAAGTGAACACAACGAAAGAAAACAAGTGAGCATTTCCACAACGAAAAAAATAGAACAAAAAACCAATTTCACAATTAAAACGGAGAACATGAACAATCCGAGTGTCATCGCGGTGAAGGGCCGGATCCTGGAGATGACGGGTGAGCACGTGGACCAGCTGCACACGATGTGGTCGCACTTGTTCGAGACCAAGACCTGCGGCGAGTTCCTCCTCCGGCTGAAGGACCATGTGCACAGCTTCTTCACGGATTTGCTCAACGAATCGCGCGAAAAGCAGCAGGCGATCCTTAATGATATAGCCGCCTTGCGGGCGGAGGCCACCGACCTGACGCGCCTGCTCCACGAGCCGGTGGACATTGGCGAGCGCCCGGACGACATGCCGCTGGTCGTCTGGGAGCTGAAGCTGGACAAGAGCATCGAGCATCTGCGCGAGGAGCTGGCCAGACGGCGAGCGGAGATCTGTGAGCTTCTGCTCCAGCAGGAGCAACTGTGCGAGGAGCTGGGTGAACTGCCTAAGCCGCTGTTGGCCGATCCACTGCCGCTGCCCGAGGAGATGGACGCGTTCCGGGATCGCCTAGCCCAGCTATGCGATCAGCGTGTGCTGCGCCTCAAGGAGATGGACAAGCTGCGCCAGAGCATCAAGCACGACATGAAGCTGCTGGAGTGCCGGCCTCAAACTGACGCAGAGGAGCGTCTGCTCAACCAGGTGGATCACTGCCTAACGCTGGAGACCTTCGAGCGCTTGCGCCACATGCAAAAGAACTTCGCCGACCAGGTGAAGGAACTGAGGGAGCGCATCGATGATATGCGCGAAAAGATCCATGTGCTGTGGGACAGACTCCAGGAGACGGACGAGTATGCCATGCGTCGCGTGCGCGAGTCCACGTCCTACACCCAACGCACCTACGACGTCCTGCGGGAGGAACTGCAGCGCTGCCAGGCCCTGCGACGTCAGAATCTGAAGACTTTCATCGAGCAGCTGCGCATCGAGATCAAGGAGATGTGGGATCTCACACTTAAGAGCCAGCAGGAGCGTAAGCGCTTCTCGAACTACTACAACGACTGGTACAACGAAGATCTGCTGGAGCTGCACGAACTGGAGCTGGACGACCTAAAGACCTTCTACAACAAGAATAAGGAGATCTTCGATCTGTACGAAAGCCGAGCCGAACTCTGGGCACGCATGGAGGCACTGGAGGCCAAGGCGAGCGAGCCGAATCGCTTCAACAATCGCGGCGGCCAGTTGCTCAAGGAGGAGAAGGAGCGCAAGGCCATCACCTCCAAGCTGCCCAAGATTGAGCAGCAGATCACGGAGCTGGTACAGGCATACGAGGTGCAGGAGAACACACCCTTTCTTGTGCACGGTGAGAAAATCCTGGAGCTGATGGCCGCCGACTGGGAGCGTCATCGCCAGGCCAAGCTACAGAGCTCGGCGCGCAAGAAGGCACCGGCGTCGGCCAGCAAGATAATGCCACCACCAGCGGCGGGCTCGACGGCTCTTCGCACGCCGCGCACACTGCGCAACATGTCAACCTTTTCCAGCTCCACCATGTCGCTGCGTATGACGCCCTCGCAACAGCACCTCCGTCCCCTGAACATTACCAAGAGCACGGGTAATCTGCACAAGCGCATGACTCCATCCAGCCTGCAGACGGGCGCCAAGACACCGAACGCCAAGCGCAGCTTGATGAACGCCCTTAACTCGATGAAGGCGTCGCCAGCCAAGCACCTGCTAGCCGCCAGCCAGCAGCAGAACCAGCTGAAGGCCACCAAGTCGCCGCTGAAGCGGGTGCGCGTTCTGGACAACACACTGCGACGCAGCGGCGGAATGGGCAGGCGCAGCATTGGAACGCGCTCCAGCAAGAAGGCGCGCACCAAGTCTAACGACCAGAACGCCCCACCCGACACCGACTACACAACGGACGAGAATGCCGAGCCGGGAGTCAGCTATGACGAATTCCAGCCGACCAGTCGCTCCTCGATGCTGCCCCGCCAGCGTCACCAATTGGCCGTGCCCCGAACTCGTGGCAATCTGCCGGTGCCACGGAAAGCCTGAGGATCGTGCAGCTGCGCAGAAAGTTCTAGTTACACTAGAGATTAACTAGCTTAACAAGTACCTACTACACTATTTCATAAAGGTTGGCGTTTCTTGATGTATTTCATTTTTTATTTTCTGTTTTACGTTTTCATAATAAAAATTATGTGTGTTTTTTGCTTGACCACAAGATTCGAGTGTGTTTCACTTTTGTAAGGGCTGAACAATTGTGGTCTTAAGCTATTGTGTGGAATTCAGGACTTGGTTGTAAATTTGTTAATTATGTTTTCTATTCGCATTTAACAGTTATCCACCAGTATTATGAACATTGTGAAAAAGAAATCGATGTAGATTTCGATGTTTTACTATGCCTTCAGTATTTATTTGATCATCAAGTAAATTTGTTACTTATTAGGAGGATGGGAGCTATGTTTTCTTTAATATACATGCGCACTTATTTAAGGTTTATAAAAAGTTTCCAACTGCCTACACTGCGCATTAAGATGTAGGGCAGTTCTTATTCGACTATTAAATACATATTAACACATTAAAATGGCCGGCATGGTGGTGCCTGCGCCTGTGATGAACCCTTCAGTTGGCCAGAGCCCGGTGCGGAGCAACAACTCCTCCCAATTCCGTCGGTTATGTACAGAGGGAAGCTTAAGACTACACTGGAATAGTTGAATGTTCGGGATAAGGTGGAGCCGTGTGCCCAGGAGCAGGATCACGCACTTCAGCAACGATAGCTATTTACCCGTATCGCTTCCGCTCTGGCTGTGCTGGCTGTTTCCTCCGTGGTTGTACATGAGATGCGCTGTAGCGAAACCGACAGAGATGGAGTTAGTGACGACAAGGAGGAAGATATTCTTAACTTACCCATAACGACCGGCGGAAAGTTGAAGGCGCCAAACGAAGCAGCCGTATTCACCGCCGTCGGTGCAAAGCTGGCTCCATCGATTGTATTTGCTGGAGCTACGGCCGCTGCTCCCGAAGACAGTCCAGCGGATGCGGCGTTGTATGTACCCGGCGAATGAATGACGGTGGTCGACGATGAGCTCTCAGCCCCGGCAGCTGCAGTCGCCGCTAGCTGGGTATCCAGTTCATTTGGATAACGTGCCGGCGGCATAACGACGGTGGTCAGATGCGACTGACCGCCATCGTCCAGCAGACCCGTCCGCTGCAGACGTCCCGTCTTCGTTTCGATGTGCTTGTTGTGGGCGCTCAAACAGTGATTGCGCATATTGTACAGCTGCAGGAAGTAGGCATCGCAGTGCGGACACTTGTACCGCTCGCCCGTATGCCGCCGGATGTGCGCCTTCAGGTCGTTGCTTTGCGTAAAGCTCTTGGGACACTGGTCGCACTTGTAAGGCCGCTCGCCGGTGTGCGTGCGCATGTGGATCGTTAGATTGTACGCGCGGTGGAAGCTCTTGCCGCAGGTATTGCACAGATTCGGCTTGGTGCCCGTGTGGTAACTGCAAGGCGAGCGAATTCGGTTAGGAAACAAAACAGCAGAAGTCCGTAGGTTCAACACTTACCGCTCATGGACCTTGAGATCAGTGGCGCGGGGGAAGGCTTTGACGCAGAAGCGGCACTTGTAGGGCTTCTCACCGTTGTGACGCCGCATGTGCACGCGGAGGTAGTCGTTGCGGGCGAAGCTGTCTCCGCAGATGCAGCAGAGGAAGTTGCGCTGTCCGGTGTGGGTCTTTTCGTGCTCCCTAAGCTGCGCACGCTCGCGGAATGTCTCATCGCAGGTCTTGCAGGCGTAGAGGAAGTCGGTGTGCAGCAGGGTGTGCTTGCGCAGGTAGGTCTTACTGGAGAAGCGCTTAGAGCAGTACTCACAAGTGTGCTCCGCCAGCTGCAGCTTCAGTTCGCTGCCCGGCTCCAGGCCCTCACCATTGTGCTTGCTGACCTTATGACGTTCCAAGGCGTCCAGCCGCGAGAAGGCGGCCTCACACAGCGAACACTTGTGCTCCTTGTTGCTGTGCAGGCTCTGCACATGCGCCTTGAGGTGATCGCTGCGCGCAAACGCCTTGGGGCAGTGCGGGCAGTTGTGGGGCTTCTTCTCCAGGTGCGACAGCTTGTGGCGCAGCAGGTGGCAGTGGCGCGAGAAGGTGCGCTGGCACACCTCGCAGCGATTCTCGGGATTGGGTTCACCCTTGTTGCGCCGCCGGCGCCTGCCTGATTTGGACTTCTTCAGCGGCTTTTCGCCGTCCAGCGGCTCCTGTTTAAGCCGGAATTCTCCGTCATCATCTTCCCCACCATCCTCGTCGTCGTCGTCGTCATCATCATCAAGGTCACTGTCATCGTCGGCAAAATCATCGAACCGCTCCTCATCGCTGAGCGGCGGCTCTCCGCTGACATGGAGCTTCATGAAGTCTTCCACTCCCATTGGCGCCTCGTCCTCGCTGCCCACAAGGTGACTCTCCTCTTTAATGCTGAACTGAGAGTCACCGATGGCAACGGGTTCCTCTGAAAAATAATGAATGGGTTCTATATTTTTCGGTTTATCCAAGCACAGGGCACTTACTCTTCACAGCCCGATCAATGGATGTTTCTGCTTGAGCTTCCGCCTTTTCCCGCCGCCGACGCTTCTTCTCCAGCTTCAGCTGCATGGCCAGGTCAACTTCCTCCGCCTCCAGGCAGGGCTCTGGCTTGATGTGCAACCACAGCGTTTGATTGGCCCCATTGGCATCTTCTTCATCCTCTTCGTTGCTGGAAATGGGATTCGTATTGCACTGGAAGGCTTCCCCGACGCCTTCATCATCGTCATCCTCCTCATTTAACAGCACCTCGGCAGAGACCAGCTCATCCCCGCCATCGCTATTCATGGTGTTCTCATCCGCCGGCGGCCAGGTGCGCAGAAAATCCTCCTCCACATCCCGGTGCTGATTGCGTATGTGACGCAGCAAGTGATCCCGCCGGCTAAAGGTGCGCTGGCAATGTGCGCACTGCAGTCGTGCGGTCTGCTCGTGACTGCGCGCCAAATGGCTGCGAAGCTGTCGGAGATGCGGGAAATGCTGCGGACAAAACTTGCACTTAAATTCCTCGGAGGGAAGGCCATCTGTTCCAGTCGCGGTCCCCTCCTTGGTCGTTCTGTGCACCTGGTTGCGGTGCAGCCGGAGCTCCAGGCTGTTGAGGAACTGGTCGTGGCACATTTCGCATGGCAACAAGGCCACCTGATCCGTCTGACTGGCTGCCTCGGCTCCTCGCGCCTTTAGCTGGGGCGAACGCCCCAGCAGGGCCACCAGTGAGCAGTAGGAGCGCTCCGCGTGCCGCTTGAAGCGGTAGGCGTTGCGGGCCGCCTCCACGCAAGATCCGCACATATGTGAGGGCATCCCGTCGTACCGCTCGCACTGGTGCAGGGTGCACTCGTCCAGGATACGGGCCAAATTAGCGCCCTGCTCGATGGGTGCTTCGTTGAAGATGAAGTGCAGCTCCCCCTCCAGCGATGCATCCTTTAGGCAAACGCGGCAGACGCGGTCCGCGTCCACGGTGTCTATTGTGGTCAGGGGCTCCAACTGGGACACCAACTTGCTGCCCGCCGGCTCAGTTTCCGTCTCCTGGCACGAACCCGGCTCCAGCTGCGGATGCAGGTGCGGCTGTGGCGTTGCCATGGCTGTTGCGCGTCCTTCAATCCTAGCTATTGCATGTGGGAATCAACAATTAGCGCAACTGCTGCTGCATTAACTTAATTTTCCATTTATTTTACCAATACGAAGCGTTTGTTGTGGACAGGGGTGCGGTCATACTGGGCGCGTCATTTATTTTGTTACCGACTGCGAGCACACTACGCAAATATCGATAAGTTTCATGTTGCCGATAGCATTTTTCAAGCCAAATTTTAAATTCTCCAAAAATCAAAATATTTCAGAAATTGAAAAATTGTTATAAAAAAATCTCCAGCCAAGACTGATAACGTTTATTGTCTCCACCCGTCATTGCTAAACGAATTAAAAACACCCAAAAAGTGTATCAAAAATAATAGTATTTACAAGATTCAATGGTACTCTAGGGAATGTCAATTTAAAGCTGTAATTTCTTCTCCAGCTCCCGCGTCCACAATCAACGTCAACTGTCCCTTTGTTGGATTCACCCACGCAGCGGGAAACTTCTTATCCAGATCCACAAACACGCTCTAAAAAAAAAGTTAAAGATAATCATACTGAAATAAAATCTTTACAATTAAAGAAAAAAACTTTAAAATTTCGAAAGTATTCTAAAAAATGTTAATTTCTTACTTTTTTTAATCTTGTTAAGCTTAAGAACTTACCTTGACGACGCTGGCTTTTCCGGCGCCCGTAACCACGAAGGCGACATTCCGGGCATTATTGATCAGCGGCAGGGTGAAGGTGATCCTCTCGGGTGGTGGCTTGGGCGAGTTCCGTATGGGGATGACCAGGCATTTGGTCTCCTGCAGCGTGGCTGGCTGCTCGGGGAAGAGGGAGCAGGTGTGGCCATCGGGTCCCATTCCCAGCAGCAGCAGATCGAACTGATCGACTTGGCTCTTGACCTTCGCCTCGTAATCTGCGGCGCAGGCGTCCAGCGGTTTGCTGGTATCGGCGCGGACGAACTGGGATTCCTGAATACAAGGCAATTGGGTCAACCACTCGGCCCTGTAGGCACCGTAGGTGGAATCGTTATCATCCAGGGGAACATACCGCTCGTCGCAGAAGAAGAACACCCAGTCGGCGGTTTTCAAGTTGCCAGATTTCAGAGCTTTTGTAAGCAACTGAATGAGGGAACCACCTGTAAGCGAAACAAGACACTTGACTTTGGGAGCGCAACTATGCAGATCGCACCTGGCAAGGTCACCCCTCAAGTTGGGCTTATCACAAGCCAACCCACTTGACCTGCATGACCTGTGCGGTGATCCTCACCCGAAAGTCCCACGCTGAATTTATCCTTTCTGGACAACGCCTCCTGGGAGCAGCGCTTCAGTAGATCGCCCAGGGCCTGGACCAGTTGCTCCTCCGAAGCGGACGGGATTACCTTTAGCGGACTCTTTCGCTCCGACATATTGCTTGATCTGATAATAAAACCCGACTCGACTTCGATTTCTCAGTAATCACCATTCCCTCTCTCTCAACTATCGATTACCAATTAATGAAATACACTGCATCGTTTGCGAAAATGGATGTAGAGTAAATTAATATACCAACAATTAACTATCTAAAAGAATATTTAGCAATTAAAGCTTGGGTAATTGCTTGCAACAAAAATAGAATATTTAATGTAGGCGTAAAGTATTTAATTTTTTTTAAATCCAAAAAAAATATGATCCATTAAATCAAGTTGAATCAAAAAAAAAAAAATACGTTTCATACCTAAAATATAGCCAAATCTCCAAAATTCATCGCGCCTGCTTTGCGCTAGACTGTTATCACTAATCACGGTCATTGCGATAGTTGGCCCGCCATCATGGATAAGCCTTTCCGAAATTGAGAAAAAGAAAACAACCCAAGCAAGAATCCTTCGCCCGCTGCATATCGCCTGTTTATTTTATTTGCTTTCCCGTTTTTAACGCATGTAAACCATTTTTTCGTGCACAACGGGCTGTGAAAAGGTCCAGTACGTGCAAACCATCGGCCAGTAGCTATCGAAAGAAGATCGCTCGTCACTAAATAAGTTAATTAAATTCCACAAAATTGCGTTGTACTTTGGGATTTGTTCGTTGTTGAAATTTACCAAATAAAAAACAACATTCAAATAGTTCAACGTGTTAACAACGTGGAAATCGCACGAAATCGAGGAAATTGTCCCAGAAGTTGGCGGCAGTTTGTGCGTGCAGCATTTTTGGGCAAAACTACATCGCTCACAGTTTTTTGTTCGCAAGCGCGTTTTCGCAATAACAACAACAACGACGGTACACACACACGCAGCAAAAAACGTGCTGAAGTTCGCATTTCTTGTTGTTGCATAAATTTTGGAGCAATAATTAGAAGGATGCCAAAGCGAGGCGGTGGAGGCGGCGGCGGTGGCCAGCGGTACAACAACAACGTCGGCAATGGCGGCGGACGTTACTCGGCTCTCGAGGATTTCGATGGTCAGTACATGGATGTGCAACAAAATGAAATACCCCTCTAGTAACGCATTTATATGTATTTCTTTAGATGTGGAGGATCGCCAGCGGCGCAAGGATCGCAATAAGCGGCGCGTCAGCTTCAAGCCCTCACAATTTCCACACAACAAAAAGGACATTAAACTGCGACCCGAAGATTTGCGTCGTTGGGACGAGGATGATGACATGAGCGACATGACCACGACCGTCAAGGTGCCCACCACTCGCACATTTGATTCCTATGCAAATGCCTAATCTAATATGTAATTCCAGCAGGATAGACCCACCTCCCGACGCCGAGGATCGCCCATTCCGCGCGGCAAGTTCGGCAAACTAATGCCCAACAGCTTTGGCTGGTACCAAGTCACGGTGAGTTTAAACTACTATGTCATATAGATATCATCGCAGCAATGGTCTAGACCAAAATCATGTGATTTGATAGTAGTTTTGTTTCTATGTTAAAGGTGGCTTTCAGTCCTCCAGCACCCGTTAGAAATCACTAAAGATCCATATAAATGCCTGATCAATAATGCCCGCCATATACAAATTCAACTGTTCGACTTAATGACTGTTTTAAAGGTAGTTCCACGTATTTCCATTACTCAAGTCACATCAAAATCCCAGACTTAGTAATCATCGTCTATGGTAACTTACAAACCGCATAAACATCTAAATGTTTTGGTGTATTTGTACCCTGATCTAATGCTTCACTAATTTTCCGGCACTACAAAAAACTACAAATCCCAGACTGGTCCATATAGATACCAGATTTATGACGGCAGCCATAGAACTATTTTTGGTCTCAGGGAATATCATGTGATTCGTCTGTTGGTTGTTTTGCTATTGACAAAAGGTCGCTTTGAGAGAGTAAAGAATCCGGAAAGAATCGCATAAGTTGCAACTTTCTTGTAAACACGAAATGTTGAGTCTTATTTGTTTATTTGTACACTGCTTCAGTGCTCCAATGCCGACTTCCCGCCTGTGCTCTTTGTGTTTATTAATTAATTTCACTCGTAAAAATCGTAAAGCAAACAAGCAAAAGTTGCGACGGGGGGTGTAGCTGCTCTACACAGCTAACGACAATCGGGTACAACAATTACAATTGCAAGCCGACGAGCGGGCATATAAATATTTATGGATGGCTAAACTCAGTCGGCCACAGTGCCAGCAACAAGTGTTCGTCCCCACGAGCTGAAAGTGCAATGCAGCCGAGCCTTTGGTGGTTTGGCAGTTGGGATGACCCTCACCTAAATGGGTTCCCATGTGAAGGCCTTAATGCCTGCGGTTGGGTTATCCTTCGCCTGGTTGCCAACCTATCCAGCCGCACGTGGTGCAACACAACAGGTCGCTATCTCTCGACTGGGTCGTAAATGCCATAGTAAAATGCCCAATGCTGGCTCACCAACAAAAGCTTGCGGTTTCATTCCGTTTTGGCCTTTATTTCATCGACGGCCGGCAGACGGTGAAGACGTGTTCCAACGTCCGACGCCTCATACAATATATCGCTGAATCTCAAGAGGCCCGATTACGGGCAACTTATCAGTTAGGAGTGATTAGATGTGCGATTAGGCTTTCGCCGGGGAAACCAGCTTAACACGTGCCCCCTTGAACCCGTCATCTGCAATGGCTACCTTGGGCGCCTGGGACTACACGATCCTGGCCGTGGTGCTGGCCATCTCCGTGGCCATTGGCATCTACTACCGTTTCGTGGGCGGCAAGCAGAGCACCACCACCGAATACCTTCTGGCGGATCGCTCCATGAACGTGACTCCCGTGGCCTTTAGTCTGATGGCCAGCTTCATGTCCGCCGTAACCCTACTGGGCGTATCCATGGAGATCTACCAGTACGGCACCATGTTCGTCCTGATCAACCTATCGTACGTGTTGTCCACGCCGGTGGCCGCCTACCTCATCATTCCAGTCTTCTATCGCCTAAAGACGGCCAGTGTGTACGAGTATCTGGAACTGCGATTTGGCTATGCCACCCGATTGGCCGCCTCGCTGAGTTTCACACTCCAGATGGTCCTTTACATGGGCATTGTGGTCTATGCACCGGCTTTGGCCTTGGAAGCTGTTACTGGACTGAGCCAGGTCTTCTCCATCGTAATTGTGGGAGTCGTGTGCACCTTCTATGCGACGCTTGGCGGAATGAAGGCCGTACTTATCACCGACATCTATCAGTCGCTCCTCATGTTCGCCGCTGTCTTTAGCGTAATCATCTGTGCCTGGGTGAAGGCGGGCAGCTTGGGAGAGATATGGCGCGTGGCGCAGGAAAATGGACGCATCGATCTGACCAACTTTAGTGTGGATCCCACGGAACGTCACACTTGGTTCACCCAGATTTTGGGCGGTAGTGCCACCTACCTGGCCATCTATGGAGTGAATCAAACGCAGGTCCAGCGCCTGATGGCGGTGAAAAGTTTGAGTGCTGCTCGAGCGGCCCTGTGGTGGTGCCTGCCCATTCTTTGCCTGCTTAGTCTGAGCACCTGCTTCTCCGGTCTGTGCATCTACTGGTACTACCGCGACTGCGATCCGCTGCTGGAGGGACGAGTCAATTCGCGCGATCAGGTGATGCCGCTCTTCGTCGTGGACACAATGGGCGAGTACACCGGTTTGGCTGGTCTCTTCGTTTCAGGAATCTTTTGCGCCAGCCTCTCCACGATTAGCTCGATAATCAGCTCGCTGGCGGCCGTCACCCTGGAGGATTACCTCAAGCCCTTGGTCAGCTGCTGTGCCAAACGCACGCTCACCGATCGCCAGACCTTGTGGTACTCTAAGCTGTTGTCGGTGTTCTTCGGAGCCCTCTGCATTGGCATGGCCTTCATGGCCGGATCGATTGGTGGACTACTGCAGGCGGCCCTGTCAATCTTCGGCATCATTGGAGGCCCTCTGCTAGGCCTCTTCACGCTGGGCATGAACGTGACCAAGGCGAATGAAAAGGGAGCCATTGGAGGGCTGCTGATATCGCTGGCGTTCTGCTTTTGGATAGGATTCGGGCAGCCAAAGCCGCCGCTTGTTAGCTTGGATATGTCCACGGCTGGATGTCCGGTGGACAGGAGCTTTGCCCGTGACATTTTCCTCAAGGCGACGACAGCGGTGGCTGAGGAAGAGCATTTCTTTTACCTGTACAGGATCAGCTACATGTGGTACGCTGCCCTGGGCTTCGTGATTACCTTCTTTGGCGGATGGCTGCTGTCCTGGCTGTTTGCCCTGCTGAAATGGGACAACAATCAACGCATCTACCAGGATGCGGACTGCACGCTAATCAAACACGATCTCTTCGTGCCGCCGTTAGCCAAACGCTTGCAACGGCGACAGATGCCGCTCCTGGTGGTCACCGGCACCAGTTCGGAGATTGGTGGCATCACCACAGAGACTGCAACGTCGCCGGCGCGGCTGGACGAGATCGAGTGGGAGAAACACAAGGCAGTGGCGTAGCTGAACATCACTTTTATAGTTCCTTCTTCGTTTTTTTTTGTTTTCTCGTGCCGTTTTGATCTTAGTTACTCTCTTGTTACACTCTTGTGTCTACCTTATCTTGGCGCTTTGCATCCAGCTTAATCAGCATCAGTGTATCACTCCAAAAGATAACTACTGTGCTGTACAATACGGTTTAGTTTATTTGCTATTCTAAAAATGGGGCAAATGTCTAAAAGGGGCACACTATCATTAAAAAAAAAAAGCGGCTGTTCAAGTTACAATGTTCTTTATAATGTTCGAACGAAAGTCAGGTCAGAGAATATCATATAGTTGCCATAGTATATCTGCATGGGTGATCCCATTTTTTCTCTTGTCACACAATATGTTAAGTGAACTTTGGCTTTAAATAAACGAGCTTACTCATTAAGCAATTAAATTAAGGCTCATCGATGGCCTGATTGGGCTGCTCCTCCGGTCCTTTGGCATTGTAAACATTGCGATTCTGGGACAGATGCCATAGGGCCAGTAGGCGGACCAGCTCCGTGTAGGTGAGCTTGCGCAGATCCTGTCGACCGGCTAGCTGCACTCCGGCGGCCTCCAACTCCTCCACCAATGTGACGGCATCGTATTCTTGAACATCCTCCGGATTCTGCTCGTTGTGTGGCGCAATTCTTCCGACGAACTCCGACTCCGAATCCGAATCTGGCACCGCTTCGCTTTTCACCATGCGCTGCACCTGCTGCTGCGGCTGCTGACGCAACGGCTCATCCACATCTTTCAGCTCCTGTTCGGGAGTCATGGGCAGCGAGCTGGCCAGGCTAACCAGGCTAACCAGGCCGAGGATCACCAGGAACATGACCGGAATGCTTTTGCCCCCAATGGGTTTCATGTTTGCGTCCGACTGCGAGTAGCTTTGCTGTGGCACTGCTGCCCGTCTCGCTTGTCGATCGATCGTGGCCTGGACTCTCGGGGTGCGCTCCAATTTCTATCTGCCTTCCAGCCCGCTCGCTCACTGGCTCGGCTTCCTATCGCTCACTCGAACACGGGGCGTATGGCAGTGTTGGCCGGGAAGACGGTCGCTTTCTTCCAACATTTGGCTATTTTTTGGATACTTTCGTAGGGCCGGTAGTCCATGGATTCTGCATACAATGGTCAGGCAGGGAAATAAATCCTCGGCTTCTAAAACTCTAAAAACGTTTAAAATATAAGTAGTCAGTGTTTTGAAATATTGTAAATTATTCGAAAAAAATCTCTAGTTTGGCGTTTTGCGGAAAACTTATGTATCAAATTTACTGCACTTTCTATATTTCTGCTTTTCTATCGATTTTGGAGTTTAGAAAAGTGAAGCTTCCCAAAAATCTACATTTTCATAAGCTATTTATGTTCATTAGTTGTAAAGGAAAATCGTGCCCATGCCTTTTGCCATCCAATACCATTTCCATTTAATTTTTCCGCTAAAAACGAAGCGCAGCACTGTCGTTTGGGGGGCTGCTTTTGATTGAAAAGTCAGTGTAGGGTCGGTTAAATTATTTTATCTGCATATGCAGCACATAGCATATAGCGTACACTATACATCGACCCCTCTTTTGGTCTGGTACATATGTTCTTTAATTGTCTGTGCCTATTGTATTTTGTATTTCGCATTTGGTCGTTTTTTATTTTGTATTTCGTGGGCTACGTTTTTGTTGTCCGCCTCCAATTCAATTTATCTGCGCAGTTTGTGCTCGCTCGCCGTCTTCTATTTTCTGCATGTTTGTTTGGCCTAATCTTATCTGCTCTTATTCATAACCAATTGAACGAGTTGTAATGGTCTAGAGTCTTAATGGGTTAATGGACGCCCCGCGTTAATCATTCGCAATGTTCTCCTTTCGTCACCAATCAGTCGGGCATTCTTAGCCTGAGAACTTGGTTTGATTGCTCGAAATATGGTTGATTGTGGCTACTTATGACTTTTCGTAACCACTGATTCATAACGCATTTATGTGTTCATATTCGACAACTAGAGTCTAACTAGAGTTCTACGTTCTTATCGGCAATAGGCTTTCTTAATTACTTGCGGCTACAATTACTTGCCTGTCTTCAGGCGTTGTGAAAAGCTTTTCCATACACGTATACAAATTTCTTAGCATAGTTTCGCTTGTACTGCTCGCTGAATCAGTGTCAACACAGGTATTATTTGTAAGCAAATTGCGCTATTATGTGTTGAATTCTTACGATTTGACAACTACACGTAACGACGTTCTTGAGTGACAAGGGAACTGAAAACAAGTCGAGATTGTCAAGTTGCATGTAGCGAACGAACTGACCAAGTATGTTATTGATAAATGTAAATTCTAAATAAAAACGGCCATCGCCAATGGCAGTCTTATTTGCATTTTCCTAATGGATTCACAACTGGCAAGCGAGCAATCTATGGATGCTATGCTATATAAACTGAATGTACGTGCGAATGGAATGGCCAAAACATTCCACTGACTGATCGTTATTATTTTTTATTAGACTGCAAACACGTGCCCGCTTTGGGTAGTTAGTCATTTTGGCCGAAAATGAAAACAGCACTTCGAGCAGCGTTGATAACCGTGTTGTGGGCCAAACAGAACTGACTCACTGCATAGGAAAGCTCTACGAGCTACAGGGTATTACCCCCAAAGGTCCCAAAAACATCCAGTCCACTTGAAACCATTCGCCTAGTACTCTTCTGTGTGCATCTCCTGATGTCATCGACCAATAATGCGTTGGAACGTTCCCCTTATCGCTCGCCAGTTGAACTGACAGATTCCGCCGATTCCACCCTGCTCCTGCGGTCCCCCATTCCCAATCTGTTATCCCACATTTGTACAGCAGATATCGGATGAGCGAATCTCGTTGAGGGCTGCTAAACAAAAATGTACTGATTTCTAGTGAGTTCCGAGCACAGAAACGTAAAGAACACCTATTTCTAACTATGATTACGATTGCCACATATTTTTGAAAACAAATACACTGTTGATCAATCGAGCAATTATAATTATTCATAAAAAGCGCATTGAACAGCGGTGGGTCTCGAACTCGCACCTATGTAGAAATCAGGAAAATAATCAAAGCAAAAGCAGCTCTTATTTAATGCCATATTGTGATAGTTTTAAAGTTCTAGATGCACAGCTTTGAGGTTGTTGTATATGAAATTATCCCATTGAATGCAAAAAAAAGTGATTGATGATTTTCTGAATCGAAGCCACTTTATCGACTGCATTTGATTTGAATGGGAACCCAAGTTTGCTTATATCTTTGCCGATAATTTAAAGCAAAGTGCAATATTTAGCGATTCAACAATTTATTACGAAATTGAAATTCAGGCACATAACAGTTAATTATTACTCGTTAACAGCTTAACTTGATTCATATTCATATTCACATTGTTCGTATGTACATTTATTTTTTTATTTTAATAGTATTCACACACTCGCAACAGACTCACGCACACACTCACGCACACATTGGCATTGAATTGGTTTCAACAAAAAGGTTTAAAAAAAATGTTTTGGTTTCCATGTTAATCTGCTGGCAGCTAGTCCTGCTCCTGCTCCTCGTTGGTGGTGGTCACCGTCTTCTCCTGCCGCGTGGTGCTAGTGGTGGTGCGTGTTAATGTGAAGACGCCGGTGGAGCCCACTTCGTCCAGCGGCTGGGCAATGATGGTCGATGTGGTGCTCTGGAAACGAGATGTTAGACTTGGTACTATATTATGGTGGTGGGGGTATGAGTGTCCTACGCCATTCTTGGTCTCCTCGGGACTCCAGGAGCGTTTGTCGTCCAAATCCTTTGAGCAACAGCCTCCCATTCTTCGCTTTTATGCGTATATATATGTAGTACGTATTTGTTGTATGTGGGATGCCGTTTGCGGTCTATATTGCTGTCCAGGGCCAGTAACTTGTTGCTGCTTCATCGGCGCACGTCTGTCAGCGAATGCCGGTGTTCGGTGTGGTGTTCACTTGTTAGCCAAACGAACGAACCGAAAGCCCAACCCAACCCAAGCTGCGCCGCCAGCTGTGACTGCGACTGCGACGCCGGAGTTGGGCTGTCATAGCTATATAGCTCCATATCAATTCTAGAAATATGTCTCAGCCAGCCAGCCAGACAGCCAGCCAGTACTCGGTGTATATTCGGTGTATATTGTATTGTGTTGAACACAATAAGTATATGTATAGCACCATGTATGCCTGTGAGCTGTACAAACAAACCATTCACATTCCATACACTCATCCACCCAACCACCCACCTTAACGCCCCCGGCGAAACTCTAAGTTCCCGAGAATGTCCAATCCGATCTGATTGCCTCCAAAACACAGTCATCATCTTTATTTTCAAATGGAACCTCTGGCCTTGTCGCCTTAACGGTTCCATTTGCCCATCGAGCAGGTGCGGCGATTGAACCCAAGGCTGCCATTGTTGTCTGTGGTCTATTTCCAGGCACTATTCAAAGTTTCAACCAGCTAGTTCAAAACTAAAGTAAAAGTCCTTCCATAAGAAGGATTGTGTGCCATATATATGCGATAAGACCTGCTGAAAATGTACAGAAAACTATAAAGATCTATGATCTTAATACGACACATTGACAAATGAGCGTAATAAATGAAATATATTAAATTGGGTCCCCTAATATAGGGCTTTCAACTATTAGCTAGGTTAGTCCGAAAGGAATAAATAGCTTTGTAATTAACACCAAATACGTTATTTAAAGAGCCTATGACACACCAATTTTGCGGGAAAATTCAAAAAGACAATGGTTGTAAATTAATAAAGCACTACAATTTGTCATTTTCAAATGCGATATCACGAGGGGGTTTATGTTTGAATGCTTCAGTCAATGGAAAGCTAGGGTTAACCATATCGAGGAACCCGATGGACGCAGGAGAGCCAAAAAATATAATAATATACAGCTAATGCCCGTAATAAATAAATTTATCGCATTAATGCGCAATGAATGAGTGGGCTAGATGTGCTGCGACTGTTCCCGGACTTATCTGCTTGATACTGTTGATATGAATAGGGTCGAGTGGATTGGTTGGGGCATCTGTATGGAGTGGGATATGGGAACTGGGAACTGGGAGCTATGCGCTGGCAGCATGGCAATCATTCACACGATCATTATACGCATACGGCCCCCCATCTTTGTGCCTGTACTCGACTGTACTCCAAGTGATCCTATAAATTGAATTACCTACCACTGATTCCAGTGATTCTCTGTACACATAGTACACCATGTACGGCGCATATGTGTTCGTACATATGTACATGTGGATGCAGTCCGTCCGATTAGATAGCCATCGAGCAATATTAATAGCCAAGTGACCGATATTGCGTATCGCTCCGCCGATCTCTGACCTTCGCATGGGTGTCAGAGGAAGTGGTTACGCGGTTCCACTCTCTACGTTTTGCATCCACCGTACTGTTTGCCGTACACTCACCATATCCGGATAAGTGCTCGTAATTAAATCACTGAACGCTTGTATGATAAGACTGCTCCACCCACAAAAAAGATGTAATTAGGTGACGAGTTCCACGTATTGGTTAATGCAAATGAATGGCATGCAAAGCGGCAAAGTTATATCGTAATTCTAATCAATGTGATGAGTAAAGAAAACCAATTACCAACTAATGAAATTACGCATGAGCAAAGGATGAATGGTTTACAAAATTATCAGTAGGTAGAATAGTAATTTGTATATAGTAGAAAGTGCCTAAAAAGTTGAGAAGATCTCCAGTGAGTTAACTGGAGAAAGTCGAATATTACGGCATGCTTTGACAGACGAGTACGTGCTGTTTCTTATTTTTAGACATTTAGAGCTATCTCTGCCTTTTACACACCCCGTTGGGTGATCTGTCGTAGAAGCAATACAAAATATGGAGCACTGCTGGCAAAACAGTTCATGAGTTGGCCGATGAGATAATTCCGGTCGCTGTTATCTGTGCGCTATATGAGTTTATATAATTGACAGACGTCTAATGGTTTCCCCTATTTGGGGTTTTCTTTTTGTTTTTGCAGTTACAAAATGCCCAGATATACGAAAAGGAAACACTTTTGCGTGCCCTATTGGCGGCGATGTCGCCACATGTCTTCATACCGCAATATTGGCGTGTGGAGCGAAACTGCGTGATCTTCTTCACGGACGACTACGAGGTGGCCGAACGCATCCAACATCTGGGCAGGCATGCCCATCTTCCAGATGGCTATCGGCTGATGCCACGTGTGCGCAGCGGCATACCCCTGGTGGCCATCGATGATGCCTTCAAGGAGAAGATGAAGGTTACCATGGCCAAGCGTTACAATGTGCAAACCAAGGCGCTGGATCTTTCCCGGTTCCATGCCGATCCCGATCTTAGGCCGATTTTCTGCCCACTTTTCCGTCAGAACGTGATGAGCGCCGCCATTGACATTATCTGCGACAATATACCCGACTTGGAGGCCATTAACCTAAATGAAAACTCCATGTCCAGCATGGAGGCGTTCAAGAATGTGGAGAAACGCATACCGAACCTCAAGATTCTCTATTTGGGTGATAACAAGGTTAGTGTTGACTTTAGAGAATTACTTCTTCAATAACCCACTGATCACGTTACCATTTCCAGATACCATCTTTGGCCCACCTTGTTGTGTTTCGCAACCTGTCCATCTTGGAACTTGTTTTAAAGAACAATCCCTGCCGTTCCCGCTACAAGGATACCCAGCACTTTATCAGGTATACTATGGTGTGATTAGTTGATCTTTTAACCTTTCTAGAGGATGCCGCCGCATATTCGACGTGGGATTTGCCGCGTCGGGAGTTACAGAGGAATTAGGATTACCACATTTCCATTGTTCTGTTGTCTCCATTCCTTTTCTTTAAAGCGAATGCGCTGCAGAATTGTGGACCATGGTCAGGTGGAACCTTCCTCTCTTGCCGCCATTAAGCTTGAATGGCCTTCTGCCAAAGTTAAATGCAGCTGAGCAGGCAAAAGCATTTAGGCAACATTTTCCGTATAAGCTGTCTTAAAGCCAGGACAGATCGTAGGCAGCGGAAGGGATTTTGGGCGGAGCAAAAAAAAAAGAAAAAAAAAAGAAATAAAAGAGTTAAAGTTAACCAAAAAAAGAGAATAAAAAGAAAAAAAAAAGTACAGTAGAGCCCAAGCCAAGAGCACTAAACTTTCGACGATGTGGCAACGCTGAACTAAGGACGCAACTGTACCAATGACATACCATACATACACCGGCACCGTTCGCACTTCCACTTAACCAGGCGGACATGCAGCAGTCCCATAGCAAAGCAACATACAACAACGTTGGCCAAATACCAATAGTTAGCGCATCACATCGACAAAGATTAATTATATTACGAATAACAAGTAATCCACCAACCCACCCACCGCGCACCCCGCTACAACACACACGGGCGCACGCATGTAGCCACTCCACGCCACCGCACGCACGCATGCGCATTCGCAGAAGCGTTTGTGCCACATTCGGAGCTGCGTGCCCTGTGCGCGCCGTTGTGTTGCATTGCTGTGTCGCCGCTTGTTGATTTTGCGGTGGTTGCCAAGAAGAGGAGGAGGCAGAGTGGAGGGCACAGGCTCACCATTCCGGTGCGCAGCGTCCAGCAGGAGCAGAAACGACTACCAGGACGGACGACACACCACTGACCGACTCACGTGCGGACTTTCTGCTGGCGCCAGCGGCCGCCGCGTTGTGTTGCCAGCCGATTACAATAAGTTTGTGCGGCTTTGTTGGGCGCATGAGCCGCCTGCGGATGCGACGTGCTTGAACACGACGAGACGAACTAAAGTTACACAGCAGTCAGCTTTGTAAGCCACTTTACGCTTGGGGCCACTGAAAAAAAAAGAAATGTAAGAGAAAAAACGTAAAAAAGGAAAGAAAAAATGTATAAAAAGAAAATAACACAAAAGAAATACACCATAAAAGATGCCCAGGCACAATGCGCTGCTCAAACGTACTTTTCCGCTGCACTTTTCACATCGATCCATTGAAGGCACAACAATGGCCAAGCACCTAGTGCCTCTGCCTCTTCAGCTGATCAAGGCTCCGCCAATTTGTGTGTGAGCCGGTCGAGTAACGGTAAAGCTATAGGCAGATCAAAGCATAACCCGCATGGGGAGGAGGAGTCACATCTGACCACTGGCTAATCTGCAACTCCTGCAGCGCATACAGCTCCCACAAATAAAAAACCCATTTAATTATTATTTCTCGCTATTTAACTCGCATATCTATCATCGCCTCCCTGCTAATGCCAACAAAAAATACGGCCGAATATCCACTATTTACAGCGAAGTACGCCGCAAGTTCCCCAAACTGGTGAAGTTGGTAAGTTCACAGCACCCCATCGATTCTATTCGTATATGCCCCTTCTATTAGCAAACCGATGGGAATTCCTTGATAACCATACGCAAGTTCTAATAGTTTGTATACTCTGTATACGTACATGGATCTTAGGCTTGGAATCTCCTTATCGATAACTAGGTAATCGCAAGACCATAACCAAATTAAATCCCATATAGGACGGAGAGACCCTGGCGCCGCAGGTCACATTTGATTTAAACGAGCAGGGTCGTCTTCTCGAAACGAAGGCCTCCTATCTGTGCGACGTCGCTGGCGCCGAGGTGGTGCGCCAGTTCTTGGACCAGTACTTTCGCATATTCGACTCGGAAAATCGGCAATCTCTGCTAGATGCCTACCATGAGAACGCGATGCTCTCCATATCAATGCCATCGGCCAGTCAGGCGGGCAGGTGAGCAATGTGCTAGATAATAAATAAATACCAACCTTTAATCACCTTCATGTCGTCCAGGTTGAACAGCTTCTGGAAGTTTAATCGCAATCTCCGGCGTTTGATAAACGGCGATGAGATTCGCACCCGAAACTTGAGGTACGGACGCCTGGCCTGTGTTTCCACTTTGGATGAATGGCCAAAAACGCAGCACGAGCGTCAGACCTTCACCGTCGACCTGACCATCTACAATGTAAGCAAAGACTCAAAACTCCATTGAGCTTAAACTAAATGCATCTCTTCTCACCCAGACGTCAATGATGGTTTTCACCGTGACGGGATTGTTCAAGGAGCTGAATGGCGAGGCCAGCAATCCAGGCTCAATGCAATTGTATGACCTGCGCCACTTTGCCCGCACCTACGTGGTGGTGCCGCAGAATACTGGCTTTTGTATCCGCAATGAGACGATCTTCATCACAAACGCCACGCATGAACAGCTGCGAGAGTTCAAGCGATCGCAGCACCAGGCGGCTCCAGGAACTATGCCCTCCACTTCCACTGCGGTGACCAGTCCGCAAGCCGGGACAACGACGGGGCTACAGGGTCGACTGAATCCGGTGGGCGTGGCGACTGGACCGGTGGCTATACTACCAGGAGATCCGCTGGCGTCCACCGCACCGGTGAACAGCGGCAGTGCCGCCATATCGGCCACGGCAGTGGCACCTGGCAGCGCCCAGGATGAAAACACCAAAATGCAAATGATCCAAGCCATGTGCACGCATAGCCAAATGAATGTGATCTGGAGTCGCAAGTAAGATTCGAGTAGTAATCCATAGCTCGATCAATTAGTAAACCTATCTCTCCATTTACCAGATGCCTGGAGGAAACGAATTGGGACTATAACCATGCCGCCTTTGTGTTCGAGCAATTATTCAAGGAAAACAAAATACCGCCCGAGGCATTTGTGAAGTAGGAGTTGCTGCTGCTGCCGCTCCCATAGGACACAGCCAAAGTGCCACATACACAAAATTTCCTTTATTTGTTTTCATTTTGTAATTACATTTTACAATTATTCCTTGAGTCACCTTTAAATTGTAGTAAGCTGCGGAGTTGTGTGCACATGCGGGCAGTAGCGATTGTGATCCCAGCACTGCGGGCAATGTGCCACAACGATCACAGTCCTCTGATAGTTATATTTAATTTCCTTTAAGTTCCGCCCGCAGACCCGCTGGTCCACATTGAAGCCAGGACGAGTCTGCGAACGGTTGCCTCTTTAGAATTTAGAGTTGTTTTAGATTCCTAAGCACACACAACACGAGCACACCCTAAGTTCTTAATACAACAATGTTATCAAAACGAAAAAAACCCAATTATTATTTAAACATATACGACGATACCCAAACCAAGGCGATAATCGGAATGCATTGGTCGCGCCAATTATGCTTTATACCCGCTTTCCCAGGTCCTCGACTTGCCTTAAATTTTGTATAGAAAGACACTCGAATAAAAGAAAGATGTTGTTAATTAGAGATCTTGGGCGAGCAACAACAATGACCACTGTATAAATTTTCTAACGACTCGGAAAGCAACATTAACTTTACTCCTTAATAGCAAAAATGAAAATTTATAATTCACACTCAGCTGTAAGTTTATATTTATATGTTCGGTATATAGGAATTATATACATTAAGGCTTAACTGTAAAATCATAAATAAATTTATTAGAATCGAATGAGAACGCTGTGTTTTACTTGACTATTTGCCATTCTACAAATAAGTTCAATACAACTGGCCCTGAAATTATCGCTAGGTGTCGCTAATAAGCTGTGTAAGTAACGTGTCAAATATATCCAGGCGCTAGATGGCGCTCTGGCCGTGTAAGGACACTTAAATTATAAGATTTTATATAAAAATTGCGCGGTATGATTGTTTATTATTTTTACTTAAACTAGTTGCATTATTTTCAAAAACATTTCTGCTAACTCTATCGTAAAAAGAAAAACTTTAATAAATAACATTTTCGCCTTATTAAAATGTAATATTAATATTTAATTTAATAGTTTTTTGAAAATATTTTTGCAGTAAATATAAATATTATTAAAATTAAATTTCGTCATGAGCAAAGTTGACATTCTGCTACTGGCAATAAAACTTATATACATATATCATATCCCAGGGCTATGCGATAATTTAAATAATAAACAGACTTTGAGGGTGAAGGTATATTTGAATGGGCATAATCTGGGAGGGAAGTCGAGATTCCTTTATCTAGCCTACTTCATTAATGGTAACCAGTTCGGGGCGCCTGGGAGCAAATATTTAGGTGCATTGTCATCATTCCCGCTGAGACGAGACAGCGCCCAAATGTCGAAAGTGTCTGGGAATAGGGTCCAGTACCAGGACAAGGACGAGGACGAGGACTAGGACCAGGACCTAGGCCCATTGTGCATATGCCTTTGAGAGCGAGCGTCGGGGCTGGGACAATAAAGGAGTCGAATAACAAAAAGCTTTTCTAGTTTCACAGCTTTCCACACACAGAGCCGGATTTGCATTGTCTGCGGTGTCGGCTCCTCGGTTTTGGGCCACAGCTGTCCGGCGATTGGGTGGGACTCAACAATTGGTCAGCAACTGGTTGCCATTGGTGGCGACCACTGGTCAGTGGGCAGCGTGAGAAGCGGCGACCACCCAGCATCCCAAGTGAAAACCCATGGCCAGCTGGCCCACTCTTGTGGTCCACACAATGGACACGGCATCTAGCTACAACCGGACCCCTTTTGTCATTCAAAATTAGCCCAAAACGTGGAGTGGTAAATGGACCACGAAACCAGGAGCTGACCAGGATGCCCAGCATCTGTCGCGGATCTCGAATGGCGCCCAAAATGGTCAATCAAGTTCAGCTAGTTCTAATCTTCAGCTGCCTTCCGCACAATACAATATATTTAGGTAATCTTTTCTGTGGTGGAGTGAAAGCGGCAAAAGAAAATGGTATTGGAGGTATTAGCATACCTTTGTTACTTATAAAAAAAACCTCTTGAAAATAACGATTCTTTGCAATAAGTTGCTGTCCTGATTTTTCATAAAAAAACATTGAGTTTTCTGCGAAAACTTTGGAAATAATAATCCAAATATCGAATGCCACACCTAATTAAGTTCGTAATACCTATCCCAATGCCCGATTGGCATTTAAATATAGAAATATTATAGAAATATATGAAAAATGATTAAAATGATCAGTTTATTGCGATAGCAATAAAAATAGTTGTCCAAACCTAGAATGTCATACCCCGTTGAATTCGTAACAAAATTTCCTATCGACCTGTATTCAAAATTATAAATTTTATTTTTTTGGCATTTTTCGCAAATTTTGACAGCTAAAAAATGTGAAAAATTGTTAAAATTTGATTTCCCGAAAATCATAAAAGTAGTGATAGGCATAGTTAGCTGGGTTTATTAGCAGCACAAAACAGTCTTCATTTTAGCTGTGCCTTCTTTTTTGGCTAAGTTATGGCGAAAACCCCGTTTGAAAATATCCGATTTTTGACAACATTTTTTTTATGATTTTTTTTCGTTAAAAATAATCAGAATTTTTGCGATAGCAATAAAAGTAGTTGTCCAAAACTAGAATGTCATATAGCGTTGAATTCGTAACAAAATTTCCTATCGACCTGTATTCAAAAACGGAAATTCTAATTTTTTGCCATTTTTCGCAAATTTTGATGGGGGTACCCCTTATAAAAAATGTGAAAAATTGTTAAAATTTGATTTCCCGAAAATCATAAAAGTAGTGATAGGCATAGTTAGCTGGGTTTATTAGCAGCACAAAACAGTCTTCATTTTAGCTGTGCCTTCTTTTTTGGCTAAGTTATGGCGAAAACCCCGTTTGAAAATATCCGATTTTTGACAACATTTTTTTTATGATTTTTTTTCGTTAAAAATAATCAGAATTTTTGCGATAGCAATAAAAGTAGATGTCCAAAACTAGAATGTCATATAGCGTTGAATTCGTAACAAAATTTCCTATCGACCTGTATTCAAAAACGGAAATTCTAATTTTTTGCCATTTTTCGCAAATTTTGATGGGGGTACCCCTTATAAAAAATGTGAAAAATTGTTCAAATTTGATTTCCCGAAAATCATAAAAGTAGTGATAGGCATAGTTAGCTGGGTTTATTAGCAGCACAAAACAGTCTTCATTTTAGCTGTGCCTTCTTTTTTGGCTAAGTTATGGCGAAAACCCCGTTTGAAAATATCCGATTTTTGACAACATTTTTTTTATGATTTTTTTTCGTTAAAAATAATCAGAATTTTTGCGATAGCAATAAAAGTAGTTGTCCAAAACTAGAATGTCATATAGCGTTGAATTCGTAACAAAATTTCCTATCGACCTGTATTCAAAAACGGAATTTCTAATTTTTTGCCATTTTTCGCAAATTTTGATGGGGGTACCCCTTATAAAAAATGTGAAAAATTGTTAAAATTTGATTCCCCGAAAATCATAAAAGTAGTGATAGGCATAGTTAGCTGGGTTTATTAGCAGCACAAAACAGTCTTCATTTTAGCTGTGCCTTCTTTTTTGGCTAAGTTATGGCGAAAACCCCGTTTGAAAATATCCGATTTTTGAAAAAAAAATTTTTCATTTTTAATTAAGTATCAAGTAATTTGATGAGTAATACTGTCGAGAAAGAGGAAGGCGAAGTTGCTTAACTGCGAAAATGAGAAGCGCAGAGGAAGGCAGGCAATGCAGTATTTATTTTGTATTATTTATATAGGTATATAGTATTTTTTGTATATTTGGCATAGGTAATTGAAGTTGTTTAATTGAAGAAAGGCAGTTAATACAGTATTCAGTTTTTAGTATTTTTTGTATCTTTGGCTTAGGTAATTGAAGTTGCTTAAGTGCGAAATTGAGAAGCGCAGAGGAAGGCAGGTAATTTGTAGTATTTATTCTGCAGTATTTATTGGTATTTAGTATTTTTTGTATATTTGTCATACCCCGTTGAATTCGTAATAAAATTTCCCATCGACCTGTATTCAAAAATGTAAATTTTAATTTTTTGCCATTTTTCGCAAATTTGATCGAAAATGTGAAAATTGGTTGAAAAATGGATTTCCCAAAATTATCAGGAAAAAGATAGGGGAAGTTAGCAATGGTAATGAGCAACACAAAACACTCATCCTTTGAGCCGTTTTACCAGTTTTTGGCACGTTATGGAGGAAAACCCGTTCAAAATCAATAACTGACAGTACTTGATATTTGAGCAGCGTGTTTTGCTTGGGAATGTAATGCTAGTCGTTGGTAAAATCAATTCCGAGACTTTTAACCCCTTGTGCAAAATGGGTATTAAGGATTCTGCCGCAGGACACCCGGTGCATGTGTATGCACATATGTACATACATTCATTGCCTGACAAAAGTCAATGATCGCACGGCTGCTGAAACTGTTGAAAAATGAGAGGAACGTGAAATCGCAATCGAGCGCAAAAGGATCAGGCTGGCGGGAGGGGGTCACCTAATCCGGCTGACGCTGGATCAGGACACGACAGGACATTCGCAGGATAGGGTGTGTGGGCACGAGGATTCGCTCGTTCACTCGGAACATTTTCGGCAATTACCGAAAAATAAAGAAGCGAATTAATGCAGCGCCTGTGTGCGGTTGAGTGTGTGTGTGTGCTTTGTGTGCTCAAGGATCAAGGGGTAAGGACACTCTCAGGACACTCGGCAGCGACTTATTTTTGGGGGACAGAGCCGAGCCGAAAAACCAACACAGCCGAACAAAAAAACGCGGTGCTTGCACCTGTCCCAAAAGGGAATGACGAGCGGGGTGGGGAGAGGAGCCGCACGAGGAGCCGCAGGACGACAGCCGGGCCAGCGAAATTAAGGATAAGCAGTGCAGTACAGGATCGCAAGGATCGCGAGGATCGTGAGGATCGACGTGGCTCGTGCCACTCAAAATTCCAGCTTAATTTCGCCGCCATCCTTCGGCCTTTGTTGTGTGGCCAAAAACACAAGGAATACAAACAAGTAAAAAGCGGAGAAAATAAATGTAAACTAAAGGTGGTGGTGCAGTGCAGCCAGCAACCCCGTTTGTATGTACATATGTGGGTGCCAGTCCCGCCACGCGGTCCTTCATCCCAGATCCTCTGATCTTCCCCCTGCACAAGTATATCCCATCCGATCCGATCTGATCCTAACGATCGTATGCGCCGTTAAAGCTTCGCGTGCGGCACTCATTGTTATGCATTTTAAATATGAATTTTTATGGCCGCCAGACATGCAACCAGGAGCCCTTCGCCATCCCCATCGTATTATCCTTATTAATTCCTCGTGATCCTGCCTCCCCCTTTCGGGCAAATAGGCTTCCTGGGTGTTCGCATTTCGGAGCATTTTGTGTGCATTTTGTTCGCCGGCTAAATGCCCGTTAATTTGCGGCGTTAATGAGGCCAAGCGTCGCCAACGAGAAGCGTCCTGTGCGTCCCGGTTTCATGTCCTGGGTGGCCTGGATCCTGGACGCAGATGGCCCCTGGTCTCCCTCAGCTATTTCATTTTCGTTTGCTCATTATGGTTATTGCGGGGCCCTATTTATTTTATAAACGTTAATAACCAGCCAGCGTATGCAATCCGCCACTGACACCTTCCATTCAGGATCCGGCCATCCTGCGATCAGGATCCTGCCCAAGATTGATGGTGCCAGATAGCAGGGAGAAAGACATGCAAGCTTTGCTTAGGCCAAGG